CACGTATATGCACAGATGTGTATGCTAGACATACACATAGACATACACACTGTGAGTTAACTAGAAATCTGGTCAATGTGCCTTCCAGACTGACATTTAAAATTCACTGGCAGCCCTAGCTGATTTGGCTCAGTGGATAAAGTGTTGGCCTGCAGACTGAAGAGTCCTGGGTTCAATTCCGATCAAGCTCACATGCCTGGGTTTGCGGGCTTGATCCCTAGTAAGGGGCGTGCAGAAGGCAGCCAATCAATGATTCTCTCTCATCACTGATGTGCCTATCTCTCTTTCCCTCCCTTTCCCTTTCTCTTTGAAAATCAATAAAAATATTTTTTAAAAAATAAATAAATAAAACTCACTGGCAGAAAGTTTTAACAGTGCTTATCTTTAAGAAAAGGAAATATAAAGAACAGGAAGGGAAATTGTTTTGATTTTATGTGCTATTTGAATTTTTACTGACATCATGTCATGATGGTGGACTCAGGAAGCATGGGAAGCAACAACACACACACACACACACACATACACACACTCCACACAGAAATGCTAGATAACCTATATTTTTAATATTTAAATATCTGACACAAAAAGCAAAGAAAGAGAAAGAGAGAGCGAGATTTCTAAGGGCCAGAAACGAAAAGTAAACTTAGAAATGTATTGACTTACACTAATCATCTGAGAGATGCAAATCAAAACAACAATGAGATACCATCTCACACCTGCCAGAATGGCTATCATCAACAAATCAACAAACAAGTGCTGGCGAGAATGTGGAGAAAAAGGAACCCTCGTGCACTGCTGGTGGAATGCAGACTGGTGCAACCACTGTGGAAAACAGTGTGGAGTTTCCTCAAAAAGTTAACAATGGCACTCAAATTTGACCCAGTAATCCCACTTCAAGGACTATATCCCAAGAAACCAGAAACGCTAATCAGAAAGAATATATGTACCCCTATGTTCATAGGAGCACATTTTACAATAGCTAAGATTTGGAAACAACGTAAGTGCCCATCAGCAGATGGTTGGGTTAAAAAACTGTGGTACATCTCCACAACGGAATGCTATCCCACGATAAAAAATGTAGGACCTTTTACCATTTGCAACAGCATAGATGGAAATGGAGAGCATTATGCTAAGCGAAATAAGCCACTCAGAGAAATATAAATATCACATGATCTCACTCACATATGGGATATACCTGGTACATCGGGTTCCAGACACCATTCTGAATCCAGACCTACATCCGGGACGCACACACCCATCCCAGGACCCCAATGTCAATCCCAGGGCACGGACCTGTATCCCAGGGCCCAAATGACCATCCTGGGGCCCAGACCACCATGCCGGAGCCCAGACCTCCACCCCATGATCAGACCTTATTTCGGGGCCAGACCTTCCTGGTAGAACCACTATTTCCATGGCAGGACTCGGACCTCGATCCGGGGCCTTGACCAACATCCGGGGCCAAACCTCAACCCTGGGGCTTGAAAATCTATCACGGGGCCCAGACCTCCATGCTGGGGCCTACACCCATACCCAGGATCCAGACCCCGATCCTGGGGCCCTAACCTCCATCCCAGGATCAAACCTTAATTCGGGGCCCAGAATTTCATGGCAGGACCCTTTTCCATGGTGGGACTCTGACCTCCATTGGGGCCCTGATGTCCATCTGGGGCCTTGACCTCCATCCGGTTCCCTGACCTCAATCCTGGGGCCTGGATCTCTATCATGGGGCCCAGACCTCTATGCCGGGGCACAGACCCCCATCCCAGGGCCAGACAACAATTCCAGAATCAGACCTTACTTCAGGGCCCAGATATTCATGGAAAGACCCCTATTTCCATGGCGGGACTCAGACCTCCATCTGGGGACTTCACCTACATCCGGGGCCCTGACCTCAAACCTGGGCCCGGGACATCTATCCCGTGGCCCAGACCTCCATGTTGGGGCCTACACCCCTACCCGGGATCCAGGCCCCGATCCTGGGGCCCAGACCTCCATCCCAGGATCAGACCTTAATTCGGGGCCGAGAACTTCATGGCAGGAACCCTATTTCCATGGCGGGATTAGGACCTCCATCCGGGACCTTGACCACATTCGGGACCCTGACCTCAATCCTGGGGCTCAAATCTCTATCACAGAGCCCTGACTCCCATTCTGGGGCCAGACAACAATCCCAGGACCAGACCTTCATGGGAGGACCCCTATTTTCATGGCAGGACTCAGACCTCCATCCAGGGCCTTGACCTACATCCGGGACCTTGATCTCCATCTGGTTCCCTGACCTCAATCCTGGGGCCTGGATCCCTGTCATGGGGCTCTGACCTCCATCCCAGTACACAGACCCCCATCCCGGACACCAGAAACCAATCCCAGGATCAGACCTTACTTTGGGGCCCTGACCTTCATAGCAGGATCCCTATTTCCATGGCGGAACTCAGACCTCCATCAGGGGACTTCACCTACATCCGGGGCCCTGACCTCAAACCTGGGCCCGGGACATCTATCCCGTGGCCCAGACCTCCATGTTGGGGCCTACACTTTTATCCCAGAATCCAGGCCCTGATCCTGAGGCACAGACCTCCATCCCAGGATCAGACCTTAATTCGGGGCCCAGACCTTCATGGCAGGACCCCTATTTCCACAGTGGGACTCGGAACTCCCTCCAAGGCCTGACTTTGTTTTGTTTTTGTTTTTGTTTTTTGAATTGGTTTCATTTAATCTTACAGAAACCTGATTGGAGTTTGATATATAGTTATAAATCCAGTAACAATTCTACAAAAATGGACATACAATGCCGGAATTCCTTCAAAGCAACAATATCATAGTCTTTTGCATAAAACATGCATTAACTGCCACATGTTGGCCAAAATCCTTCTCCCCGAGAAGAGACGGTCCAATGCAGTCAAGAAAACTAGCTATGAACAACAGGTACAAAAGGAGGTGTTCTGGTTAGTGTAAAAGGAGGAACAGTACCTTTCAGACATAGGTACTATCTGCCCTTTGTCGTAAAGGGCTCACAAGCCCTTCAGCACTGGGGGATTTGTACTGTGTTGCAACGTAATGCGTCACCTCAGACCTGGTCTTGACCTGTCAGAAGGAGGAACATTCTGGTAGTTACACATTTGAGAAGATATAAACTTGCAGGCCACAATGGTCCACTACTTGTGCAACCGTGCAGAGGGGGCGCAGAAATCCTGACTTGGAAGAGTTCCCTAGCTGGGGTTGTAAACAAACTCAAGGACACTCTGAGCTTTCCAACCTAGCCTTTCACCCTTTTCTATAAGGCCAGCCCCGGGCACACAGCATCTCCTGTGGCCATAAGACCTCCAGCTCCACACCACTCTTCATGAGGATCTGTAATTGGGTATGATGCAGAGAAACATGGGATGGATCATTTCTTTGAGGCCTTGACTTTCTGTAGTTCTCATTCACCGCATCCAGGGATCAGTGGGCACTCGTCTACATGGCTGCTGAACACACAAAGGGATATTAATAAACACTTGTGGCCCCAAAGCCTCAAATGCTTGTAGTCACATAACTCAAAGTTTGTCATCTATTGTCAGGACAGACTTGGTTCCTCCAGAGCAGGGGTGGGGAACCTTTTTTCTGCCAAGGGCCATTTGGGTATTTATAACATTATTCACAGGCCATACAAAATTATCAACTTAAAAATTAGCCTGGTGTAGTCAGTCAAACATTTAATTAGCTTACCCCTAATGCCTTGGCAGGGCCAGACCCAATGATTTCCATGGGCCTTATATGACCCGGGCCAGACATTGCCCAGCCCTGCTCCAGGGGGAGCAACTCCATTTATCAAAGGGTGTTTTCCCCATAGACTGAAGGGCTTTAAAGAGATTTCAAACCAACTGAAAGGACCTCCCTTCCAATACGGGCTTTTATACAGCATTCCTTGAGGTTCTTCAAAAGATCTTAATCATTAGGGAACCAGTTGTGGGCATTAACACTTAAATTAATACATAAACACATTAATACATAAAGCTCATCATTCACGCAACCTAGGGAGTCTGCCTCTCCCACAAAAGGGCTCTCTCTGCCCTGCTCACAAGTAAGCTTAAGCCAGTATCGTTTCCTTCAGCACAAGTTAAGGGGGAAATAATTTATTAGGGCTCTAATAACATTTTCATAACAGAACAATATCAAAATAGGTTTGTTTTTAATATATGCTTACGAATACCCCTGATAATATAAAGAAATCCAGAGGACTTTGTAAACCACCGAGATGTCACAGGGTAGCGCCCGGCCTGGTTTCTAGGCAGCAGGAAAGGGACTACTGTATGGCATGTTTTCTCCAGGATGCCCTGTGCGCACCACAGTTCTGAAATTCTAACATGCTAGTGCCAGCAGAATTGTGAATGACATTTTCACTTTAAATGTATTAGTAAAATTCCTATCAAAGGTTGGCTTCCTCAATCCTGCCATCAGCCAATCTCCCTGCCTATAACAGGCCACAAAACCATCAACCTGGCCACTCCAGAGGTTGAGCCCAGAGGAAACAAGTTGTGAGATCCCTTGTAAGCCGTGACCCAACCTCAGAAAACAGGGATGTGGGAGAAGGAGCAGACCAGGCTTGAGGAAGCTCTGACCCAAGGCACCATGATCACAGGGGTGAGGGGGACCTAGAGAGGTTCTAGCTGCAGGAAGATGCCCCCAAAGCAGGTCCTGGAAGACAACAGCTCTGTGGCAGAGTAAACACATTTGAGAGTTAAAGACCAAAAAAATTAGAAAAGAAACTAGTTTACTCTCTCAAAACCAAATCAAACTTCTTAAAACTTATAAGCAAATAACCCTGGATAGACTGGGGGTGTGGTGGGGGCTGAACTCTGTGGAATGAGTTGCTTTTAACTGAGTCAGAAAGAATGCTGGTTGTGAAATCAGCATAAATACTGTGGCTACTGCAGTTAAGGAGAGTGAAGGAAGCTCAAGGTCAGAGGAGGCCTCTTCAAAGAGAGGATGGAAGAGGAACAAATGTGAAATATGCCTCTTTTATTCGTGGATCAGTAAGTGGCATTTCCGGCACCTGGCTGACAAGGCGCCTGGCTGAGAAGGTGCCGTACTCCAGTCTCGCTGCAATAATACTTCATCCCATCCACCCTTCTTCTCTTTTTGGACTGAAACTCTTCAAAGAACTGTTGGACGTCCTCTCTCTTTACAACCGTGCCTTCATCAGCAAATCTCTTCAGATAGTCTTTAAGTTCAGTCTTCAAGTCATTATATTCACAAATGAGTTCCACTTGCTGGACTCTGTTCATGCTGCTAAGGGTGTCCATTAAAGGATCTGTCCTGCCAGCCACCTGGTCAACCTTGCCCCTGTTTTCATAAGCCAGAACTGTGTCATATTCATCTGTCAGGAACAGGACATCTAGATCGCCATACATTTTCATACAGTCTTTGCAGGTACATAACTTGCTACGCCAGTTCAGGGGCCAAAAGGTGGCAGTGTCTTTCTTTATAAAATGCTTGGCTTTAAGCTCCTGAAGTTTGCAGCCAGTCTGTGATTCTGTATTGAGATGTTGATTCTTAAACACTGTCTGGAGATCAGACTCAGAACTAGAGCTGGCACATGGTTCATCAGTCTGCTCTGCTTTAACTGCCTTGACAGCATCGTTTGCATGTTCTAGAACATCCTCTTTGAGGGGACTATCATGATGATCTCCATTTTCAGGTTTGGTAACTTCCTCATCACCTATTCCATCGACATTCAGCACCAACCCATCATCCTCAGCAGATACTTTTGTTACTGCCAATTGTGCAGTGTAAGCCTACACACAAGAAAGAGCAGCGCTTCATACAGGCCTGGCACACCATCTCCTGGAAATCCCCACTCTCGGGGGTCATGGCACCAAGATGCCTTCCATGGAACCAGTCTTCACAGACTACGCACTGGATCATCTCATCTGGAATCTCATCATCAGGATCAGGATAAGGTCTCTTACAAATGCAATACAATCCAAAAAAGTTGTCATTATACTTATTGCCAGAATTTATCTTTGCTTTGTCAGGAAATAATTTGCATTCCAAATTTTTAAACTTGCTGTTTCCACAATCACAATGAAAATTTCTTTTTGTATATAGCTCAAATAGTTTATGACTTCCATGACACTCATAACTGCAAGCTAGGCAAATTCCTGCTGGTTCTTCTCCCTTGGGGGTGCAGGTACCACAGGCATATAGTGCTTGTCTCTTTATGGAGCCCTGCGAGTAGGAGCACTTCTCGGAGTCACTGCCACCCAGGACGGCGCATGCCTCCTTCTCCAACTCCTCGTCCTCCTCCAGGACATCGACCAGCCATACCACGGGCTCCAGCTCCGACTGCCGCCTGGAGGGACCCTCCGCTCCGGCCATCCTCAACTGTCACCCCGCCGCAGCTCTGCGCTGGGGGAGGCGGGAAAAGCGGCCGCGGGAGGTGTGGTTGGAGGAGCCAAGGCCTGACTTCTATGGTAGGATCTAAAAGGCCATGGCAGGACTCCCACCTTCCAGTAATGATCAACATAATTTGATGAACAAGAACAGATCCAGAGATAAATGTCTGGGGAGGGCTGTTTAGAGAGAAACCAAAGGACTTGTATGCGTGCATATTAGCATAACCAATGGACACAGACACTGGGGCAGTGGGGGCTTGCCCCGGGGTGGGAGTGGCTTGTGGTGGGGAGGTCAAATGGGGGATGGGAGGAAAGGAGACATGTAACATTTTAGATAAGAAAGAAAGAAAGAAAGAAAGAAAGAAAGAAAGAAAGAAAGAAAGAAAGAAAGAAAGAAAGAAAGAAAGAGAGAGAAACTAAGATGGCGGCATAGGTAAACACCGGGAAATTGTCGCCTCCCACAACAATTGAAAATTACCGCAAAGGACTGAGCAAACATCATCCAGATCAACAGAAAGGCTGGCTGAGTGTAAATTCTACAACTAGAAGGAAAGAAAAGCACGCTGAGAGCCAGAGGCGCTGCAGAGGTGAAGTGCAGAGGTACGGCGGCTCGCGCGCGCGAGGAAAGGGGGTGGCACCTGAGGACGCGGCTGTCTTTTTGAATCACAAACTCCCGACTGCTCTGAACTCCGGTTCCGGGAAGTCTCTGGGGACCCAGGTCTCATACGGGGAGAAGCTGGTCTGTCCGGCAGTGGGCGAACTTGAAGGCGGCTTTCCCTCAGAGGTGCTTGCAGCAATTAGCGGGTCACTGAGACCCGCGACTCCGGGCGGAGAATCAGCCATAGCCCCCTGATCCGCCCTCTGACTCCCTGAGACCCCGCCCCACCCAGGCTGCGGCAGAGGCTTTTGCATGTGAATGTACCTAACTGCAGCCGAGCCAGGCAGACCCGGAACTTCCAAGAGAAGGCCCAAGGCCCCGCAGCGGCTTGCATTGCTTCACAGCTGAGCCTCTTCGTGGCTCCTGCTGTGTGGCCTCAGGCAGAGGCTGAATTAGCACCTCCTTAGATCCAGGAGCCACTGTACCCAGTGGTCAGAGGGGGACCATCCAGACTGCAACTCCTCAGATCCATAAGGGACACACTCAGGGAGCAGACTCAGTGAGCACCAAAGCCCCACTGAAGCAAGTCTTGCCCCAGAAGGGTGTCTTCAGCACAGAAGTTCTCCCACTTTAGACACAGCTGATTCTCACAGCCAATTGGCCTGGAGGTCAATTCCTCCCAGTGATTCTACAACAACCAAGGCACCAAGAGTGCATCAAGAGTGTCCACCCCAGGTAATTGGGGAGGCTGAGCTACTGGGCCCTACAGGACACCTGGCGCGCAGGGCCACTCTATCAACACAGGGAAGCTGCCAAAATGCGGAGACAAAGAAACAGGTCACAAATGGCAGAAATGGAGGAAAGCAAACGATTGGATATAGAGTTCAAGGCCATGTTTATAAGGTTTTTCAAGAATTTTATGGAAACCGCCAATAAATTTAATGAATCCCTCAATAAGTATAGTGAGACCATGGAGGACATGAAAAAGGACCAACTAGAAATTAAGCATACACTGACTGAAATAAAGAATAATTTACAGAGATCCAGCAGCAGACAAGAGGATCCCAAGAATCAAGTCAAAGATTTGAAATACAAAGAAACAAAAAATACCCAACCGAAAAAGAAAAAAGAAAAGAGATTCCAAAAATATGAAGATAGTGTAAGGAACCTCTGGGACAACTTCAAGCGTACCAACATCAGAATTATAGGGGTACCAGAAGGAGAGAGAGGGCAAGATATTGAAAACCTTTTTGAAGAAATAATGACAGAAAACTTCCCCTACCTGGTGAAAGAAATGGACTTACAAGTCCAGGAAGCGCAGAGAACCCCAAACAAAAGGAATCCAAAGAGGACCACACCAAGACACATCATAATTAAAATGCCAAGAGCAAAAGATAAAGAGAGAATCTTAAAAGCAGCAAGAGAAAGACAGTCAGTTACCTACAAGGGAGTACCCATACGACTGTCAGCTGATTTCTCAACAGAAACCATGCAGGCCAGAAGAGAGTGGCAAGAAATATTCAAAGTGATGAATAGCAAGAACCTGCAACCAAGATTACTTTATCCAGCAAAGCTATCATTCAGAATAGAAGGTCAGATAAAGAGCTTCACGGATAAGAAAAAGCTAAAGGAGTTCATCACCACCAAACCAGCATTATATGAAATGCTGAAAGGTATTCTTTAAGAAGAGGAAGAAGAAAAAGGAACTCTTACCATTTGCCACAGCATGGATGGAACTGGAGAGCGGATAAATACCACATGATCTCACTCATTTGTGGAATATAATGAACAACATAAGCTGATGAACAAGGACTGATCCAGAGACGGAGAGGCATTGATTGGACTGTCGGGACTTGGAGGGAAGGTAGGGGAGGGTGGGGGTAAGGGGGAAAGATCAACCAAAGGACTTATATGCAAGCATATAGGCCTAATCAATGGACATGGACAACGGGGGGGAGAGGGCATGAGCGGGGGGGGGGGGGGGGGGGGGGGGTAGAGGGTAACGTGGGGACAAGGACACATATGTAATATCTTAATCAATAAAAAATATATAAAAAAAAGAAAGAAAGAAAGAAAGAAAGAGCGAGCCTTAACCGGTTTGGCTCAATGGATAGAGCGTCGACCTGTGGACTCAAGGGTCCCAGGTTCAATTCCGGTCAAGGGCATGTACCTTGGTTGCGGGCACATATCCAGTAGGGAGTGTGCAAGAGGCAGCTGATCGATGTTTCTCTCTCATTGATGTTTCTAACTCTCTATCCCTCTCCCTTCCTCTCTGTACAAAATCAATAAAATATTTAAAAAAAAAAAAAGAGAGATAAGATAAAAACAAGTTGACCAATTAAAAGAAACAATAATAAATATTTTTTAAAAGAAAAAAAATGTATTGACTTATCAGGGAGTAGTTGTTGAAGCCCCAGAAACTCAGAAAGACACTAGAGCTGGTCTAGAATGGAAATGGGTTCACAGATCCCTTGCACAGCAGAGAACTGGAATTAGATTTCCTGCAAAAAGTCAGGAAACAGGAAAGAGCTGGCCCACCCTTGATTGGGGGGTAGAAAAACACCTTTAACCTTTGAGACATGACCCCAAAGTGTCCTAGACCATAGAGGAAAGAGGAGAAAGAAGGCCACTTTAGCATCTGTTCAAAATTCCAAGCCCAAGTAGCAAATGGTGAGGACCCAAATCTGCCCTTTAGAATGATATGGAAACCTAGGACCAATAAATAACAACTAAAACAAAAAATGCTCTGAACCTTGTGACTCAATAGGGCCCAGCGAGACCATCAGGACACCGCCCCTTCATAATCCAGGACATATGCAAGGCTCCCATGAAAACAAAACTTTCCAATAGATGAGTTCACAATCAATTTTTACAGAGCACTAACAACCACTACAATCAATAGTCAGCTGACATAACAAATGGAACAATTCACACTTTAAGAACCAAAAATAATAGAGTAATCTGAATGTAACTTTAAAATAAGTATGTCTTTAAATCTAGGGGAATTTTGTATCAAAAAAAAAGAGGATTGGAAGAATGTTTTTGCCTTGGATTCCTCTGAAAATTACAATGTGTTATTTTAAGGCATCATCCACAATATACAAAAACAAAGAAATAGAAGAGAAAATAAAAAGTGATGTTTTAATGGAAGTCAAAAAGTAGATGTAAAGTGGTAACTGAGTTATCAGACCAGAAGAAAAGACACTGAGACAATGAAAAAAGCTGGAAAAAATCTTAAAAAAACAACAACAACAACATCATATCTTCAGAAAGATCAGAGGAAATGCTACCAGATCAAATCCATGAGGCAAGAAAAAGGTGCTATGAAAAGAAACATTAAGGAACAGAAAAAAAAAGCCCATTAGAAATTTAAAATTGGACAGCAGAAATTTTAAATTCCAGTAAAATTAAGGGTAACTTCATGGAAAGTAGAAAGATGAAGGTATTGAAAAATAGGCAGGAAGTGATAAGAATATTAGAGAATCAATTTGGGGACTCAACACCCAGATAAAAGAAATCCTAGAGAAAAAATGAATAGTGAAAACGAAGGGTGGAAAAGTAGTAAATAATACAAGAAAATTTCAGAGAACCTGAGTTTCCAAATTAAAAGGATTCACCAGGTGCCCAGCAAAATGAATGAGAAAAGAAAAAAACCACTAAGACACATTAATATGCATTATAAGACTAGAAAGATAAAGAGAATATCCTAAAAGCTTCTAAGAGGAAATTCAGCCATTTACAATAGATCAAGAATTAGTAACACATCAGAAATCCAGCAACTGTAAAAAATAGAAGAAACTAAGAAGAGCCTCCAAAATTCTGAAGGAAAATAAATTCCAACCTAGAATTCAGAACTCAGCCAAATACCAATGCAGTATGAGAGTAGAATGAAGGCTTTTTGGAAATTTAAGTTCTCTAAAATGTTATCTCCTATATATACTTCCCTCAACAAATCCAGTAATACAGCAAAATAAGGGGCTAAACTAAAAGAATGCTCGCTAACATTTATATAGTACCTATTGTATCTAGGCTTCTTTTATGTCTGTGTGTGTATATGTGTGTACTCATTTAATTAAATCCTCATAGGAATTAGCAGAACATTATTATTATTATCCACATTTTACAAAGTGGTAAAGGAAGGTTGAGTAATCTGCCCTTTGTCATAAAGCCTGTAAGCAGCAGTTCGGCTCCAGAGCCCATACCTTTAAATAACGGGGAAGATTTAACACCCATTCATAAAAGGAACTTCCTGGACCTGATAAAGCAGCTCTATGAGACTGACAAAAATCGTACACACACGATGGATGAGGACATTGGGGGCGGGGGGGAGGGCGGGGGGGGGGCGGTAAAGGGCAGAGGGTGGGGTGGGAACTGGGTGGAGAGGAGCTATGGGGGGAAAA